GAACGCTAGAGTCTTGGGGGGCGCAGGCGGAGTCGCCGGGCATACTGGTAAGTAAGGAAGGACCAGAGCAACTGTCCACTGAGGGAGGAGATAGAAGGGATACATCTTAAGTTGGTGGGATCAGGAGTCGAGGAGGGGCCCCCGCGATGTGTCTCTCTTAAAGGCGCAAGAGAGCGGAGAGTGGGTGTAACATGAATAGGTGAAAGAGGAGGATTAGAAGAAGTCGCATGAATTTTCAGGGAGGATGGGCGAGGTCTAGTGAGCAGCGTTTCGTGAGTATGTTTAGGCTCGGCGCAGCCGAAAGATAGCCCTCGTATCATGCGAGTCAGTGTGTGCCTTGGTTGTAGAGCGCTTCCTGAGTTCGATTCGTCGGCGACCTTCATTTTGAAGAAGAATAGGACACAGAAAATTCGGGTAGTCGCGCTACCAAATGCAAAGAAGAGAGTAGTATAGTATAATAAAGCATTTGACCAAAGGTCACATGTGGAATAGCATATGGTAATAGAGAAATTACAAGTTAAACTTCCAGAGAAAGGTAGTAATATGAAAAGCAGAGGACTGGTGTGTGAAGGACGGAGGGCGGCGGTCTTCGCCCAGGCGTAGGAGGGCAGGGCGAGCGATAAACAGCGACTGTGAGAGATGAGAGAGACTGCTAGTGTGAGTGCAAAGGTGATGTAGTTGGCGATCACGCGAGAATAATGTGACTAAGGTGAGATAGAGCGACGCGAATGTAATAGTAGTGAGACACACACAGAATAAGCAAAAAGAGTAATATGGATATGACAGATCAGAGCAGTATGCCGAGCGCGCTCGCCTGGCAGTGAAGAGTTGCTAGTGGGGAGAGGCGCGCTACAGAGAAGATTCGAGTGAGAGAGGCGAGAGCAGTTACGTCCGAAGCAGGTTTGTGTGGTAATCCAAAAAAGGAATTATAGCGAGGTGGTAGGATCAGCAGTTGAGAGCCAGGAAGATATATTTGATAAATATCATTGAGTGTTAGGGGATTGAAAACAGTCGCGAGTGGAGTTAAGAGGAGAGGGTCAGTATTCAGAGGGTCAGAGCGACCGATTACAGAGCAGAGCGTGTTGCCCGTGCGTCTCACAGACAGCAGGGAGCAAGGTGCGATGTGAATCGCGCACCTGCAGTGGAGGATGCCAGCTGGCACGGGGACGACGCAGGACAATGCGACCATAGGGAGGAGAAGAAGCAAGTGGGGATGCCCACGCCAGATGGGGCAGAGCGAGGGAGCCCGAGTAGCAGCCAAGGAGGGCGGAGGATGGTGACGCGCCCGGAAACACGCTCGACCCGACGGGATCTGGCAACCGCGAGATCAGGAGGGCCCCGCGAGCGGCCAGCGGGCCCGTGGCTGGTCTGAAGCACATAACTGTGTGAGTCTCGGGGAGAGCTCACTGCTCACTGGGGGAGGCTGGAAACCCAGGAGTTGTGTACTTTGCCCCAAGAGATCCAGCAAAGCGGGAGGATACATCCATGGCATCTGCCCCATGAAGGGGGCTGAACCAGGAGCCGAAGGACATCATCTGAGCGCCCCAGGCTCGCGCACAGCCCCTCACAGAGACATCAGGTCGAGGCTGCCACTCCCACAGCCCCTCACAAGGGACGTCAGTCTGAGACTCCACTCCCACCAGTCCCTCAGCAAAGATTGAGCTCTACTCTCTGAGGCGCCTCCACTCCCACAGCCCTCGACAAGTGAAAGTCATCTGGAAGCTCCACTCCCCACAGCCCCTCACAAGTACGTCATTCTGAGGCTCCACTCGCACAGCCCCTCACAAGTGAATCATTCTGAGGCCCCACTCCCACAGCCCCTCACAAGTGAACGTCATTCTGAAGCTCCACTCCCACAGCCCCTCACAAGTGACGTCATTCGAGTCCCCGACTCCCAGCAGCCCCCACAAAGTGGTCATATCATAAGCTCCACTCCCACAGCCCCGGTCAAAGAGCTTGCACAGTTTAAAAAAGAAATGTTGGCTGGGTGCAGTGGCTCATGCCTGGAATCCGAGCACTTTAGGAGGCCGAGGTCAGTGGATCACAAGGTCAGGAGTTTAAGACCAGCCTGGCCAAGATGGTGAAACCCCGTCTCCACTAAAAATACAAAAATTAGCCGGGCATGGTGGCAGGAACCTATAATCCCAGTTACTTGGGAGGCTGAGGCAGGGGAATTGCTTGAACCAGGGTGGCAGAGGTTGCAGTGAGCTGAGATCTAGCCACTGCACTCCAGCCTAGGTGACGGAGTGAGACTCTATCTCAAAAAAAATT